AATGAGCCTGAGCTGGGCATCGACTGCTCTACTTTCTGGCTGCAGACCTTTACCACCCAGGAGACCATTACGAATGCAGAGACGGCAAAGGAGTGGTTTCTCCTGTCGGCCAAGGACGTGAGTGCTGGGGTGGGAGGTGGGCAGTGTGTGCGCTGGGAAGGACAGAGTGGGCTGGCCCATCCACCTGAGCGGCCTTATCTGATACTGTTGCCATGTTTCTCCCGAAGTTGGCAGCTGGAGGTAGCCTGTCTTGGTGCCTGCTTTTTCCAGTTTAGACATTTGACTTTGCCAGTCCGAGACATGTCAGATGTGCTAGAACCTGCTGGAGCTAGCTGAAGGCACTTGAAAGTCCCTTGGCCCCGGGAGGATCCTCTCTGCCCCTGGCCACACCCACTTTACTGGGGAGGGAACCTAGGCCTTGCATGCCTGTGCGGAAGGATGGGCCTCTGACTCTTTCATCCTCTTTCCCTTGATATGGGGCTCCTCTGACAGCCTCAGAGCCAAAGACTGGAAATAGTCCATCCCACCCAGGGCCTTGGTTTCTCCAGAGATGGGAGGCTTACTTCCCTCGGGTGGCCCCCTGGGATGGGTCTGGTATAACCCAGCTCTGTCTCTTGTAGCCTTCTGCAGTTGCGAAGCACTTTGTTGCCCTGTCTACCAACACGGTAAGTGCCTGTGTGGCCTCCCGGACTTCCTTCCCTGGGAGGGCCCAGGTCACGTCAAGGTCACAGCCTATCAGAATACTCAAGTCCAGCTGTCATTGACGGGCCTGGGGATCTTGGCTCAGCTGATGGGATAGAAGGGCCGGTTGTCTGTGAGGGATATGAGCTGCAAACCATCCCTTTTGCTTCCTCCATTTGCATCACATCTCTGTAGCTCCAGAGAGGCATCCGGTTGGCTGCGTCCCACCACTCAGGCCTGACTAATGTCCAGAACTCTCCACACACATGACCTCCTTTGGCCTCTCCCCACATGGGATATGTGGAGTCGATGTGGGGGTACATCCCATTTCTTCCATGAGGAGGTTAAGCCCCAGTGAAGGATTTTGGCACAGCGACTGCCTGAGTCAGTGGTGCTGGGATGAGAACGTTGCCCCTGTCCACCCAGCCTGAGAGGTGTGGGCTGGGCTTGGGAGGGCAGGGCAGAGCTGAGTGCCAGCAGTAACAAACCAGGTGAGCACTTGTGGTGTAGTAGGCTTGGTCCACGGCTGTGGCAGAGCTGGAACCACCCTCCAGTTGTCCCGACTGCTCCCTCCCACCTCATCCGCCCCTCTTGTCCGACCCCCACCCCTGCCTCCAGTGCTGACCTGCCCATGGTGGGGAGGCAGGGGGACGTGTTCAGGCTGGCTCACCACAGCACCGCTGTGTGCCTGCTGCAGGCCGAGCTCATGCTGGGCAGTAGAAGGGGTCGCCGACCCTGTCTGCCCAGGGGCAGAGCACCCAAGGGGTAGGGTGGGTTATCTCCTCAAGGCTTCCTGCAGCAGAGTCCCCATCCCTGATATCGGAAGGGCTGGACAGGGGTCCTCGCTGGGGGACACCTGGCCTCGGATGTGGGCCCCACTCTGCTCAGGCTCCGGCCCTCGGTGCAGTTTCCCATCTGTCCCGGATGGGTCAGTGTCTGTACCCCGACAGGTCTAGGCAGCGGCTCTTGCAGGACAGTGTGTGGGGCCGGGCCCATGCATGGGCTGGGCAGCCTCGCTCAGCCGGAGGGCTTCACAGGCACCAGGCCACGGGTGGTGCCCCGTGGGAGCTGGCCTCGGCAGTTCTGGGGGTGGCTGCTGCTGGTTCCTGGCCTGGGCTGAAAGGCCACTCCAGCCCTGCCCCGTCCAACCGTCCATCTGTCCGCAGCTCAGACAGCAGGACACCTGGCACCCTGGAGCTCCTGTTCTCCTCCGGCTAACATAGGTTTTCTTCCTTCTCTCCCTTTGCCCCTTTTTAGTCCAAAGTGAAGGAGTTTGGGATTGACCCTCAAAACATGTTCGAGTTCTGGGATGTAAGTAAAGGCACATCCTTGTGCTGGGTGAATTATGTGTCCTGGGTCAAGGCATGACCACCGTGGCACAGATGAGGGGCTTGTGAGGTCAGGTCAACATTTACTGAGCACCTGCTGCATGCCTGGCTCTGGGAGGGGCTGAGAGGCCCTCAGGGAGGCTTGTGGGGGCAGGAGCAACCGCATCGGGAGGAGGGCTCCACTTCTACCGGGGAGGGCTGAGCTTGCCCAGCCAGGCTAACGCTCCCTGGGGCATCTGTCAGCAGCACCCACTGGGGGGTAACCGGAGCCACCCCTGCCCCCCTTCACTAAACTGAGGTTGTGAGTTATTCTCAGTGATGACCTTTCTCCACACTTGCAGCCTCCGTCTCTAAAGGCCACAGGGCAGGGTGAGGCAGGGGGTGTGACCGGGCAGGCCCAGTCAGGAGGTACAGGGACAGCTGGAAGGTGGCAGAGAGGACGCGCCAGGCCTGGGGCCTGCTTGGGCCCTTGTCAGGCAGCTTGCAGCACAAACTGTGCTGGGGCGAGCCTAGCAGTAGGGGGTCACGGACTCATCCCTGCTGGAGGTGGGGGGAGAGGGGGTGGGGAGGCCGCTGGTACCAGGCAGCTAGTGGGGAGGGCGCCTTGCCTTGGGCGGCTGGCTTGCGCATTGCCCTGGGGAAAGGGTTCCCACTGTGCGATGCAGGGTGCGGTGTTCTAACACATGACTGTGGCAGGCGCACCAAGGAGGGCATCCTCTGGTTGGGGATTTTCCCATGGGGGGGTGGGGGTGGGGTCAGTTTCCAGGCCTTTAGACTGGAAGCTATTCGCTTGGTGGTAGCATCCACAGTTTTCTCCCTTGAAAACTCTAGAGGCCTTGGAGTCTGGGAGAACATCAAGTCCTAATGTCCTGAGGCGTCTGTTGTGTGTAATGAGTTAACTTCTTTCTAGAATGGGACTAATTATGTACCATCCTTGGAAGAATTGAGAAGTCACTCAAAGCATTTTCTGCATCCTGTGGCTCAGATGAGGAAGCCCAGTCGAGAGAGATCGGGCAGCTTCTAGCAAATGTTGCATGTCTGATAAAGTAGGGGAGGCACCTGCTACCTCTTCTCTGGGATCTGGAGCCTGAACAGGTGGTGGTCAGGGACAAAAGGGGCTCCTGCTAGCCAAACCCCTGTGTGGGTTTTCACTGCCTGTAACTTCCCAGCATGTAGAGGTGATTGGGCTGTGGCTCAGGGCGAGGCCCAGGCCTCCCAGGTAAGGCCTGGGAATGACAGTTGGGCACACAAATGTGGGGCTGGGGCCGGGTAGTGAGGCATGAATGGCCAAGGGGGACACAGTGAAGGCCTCTTGGGCCAGGCCAGGCAAACCACATACACAGTGGCTAGAAGAGGGGACATGCCTGGGTCGCTAAGGATGTATATTGTTTTGAGTCAAGAGGGTGACATCTGAGGAGCCAGGGATGGGTGAAACTTCTGGAGCTAGTAACTCTTAGGCAAAATAGAAGGTCAGGACAGACCTAGGGATGTTGTGCTGGCTCTAAGGTAAGATTCAGAAGAGGCCATTCTGGTAGGGGGACATCTAAGTGGTGAGGCCTGGTCAGTTAGGGTCAGTCACGGGTGAGCTTCGTGCTAGGATCACGCAGAGATATGGTGGTAAATGGTGGGGTTTCTCAGGGCTCAGCCAGAATTAGTATGCATTGGGAGAGCTAACTTTGGCTGGCGGGGTCTGAAGAGGAGCCAGGATAGGTAAAGGTACTGCTGAGGTCTGCGAATTCTGGAAGACACAGGTTTCAAGATGGTTCTATCGAGTAAGGTCTGCGGAGCGAGAGTCACATACAGGTACTTTCACCTGGATCTGTGAGTTGAAGTCCCTGGCATGGGACAGGTGTATGCATTGGGGTCTGTCCGACTGGTTCTGCAAAGTGAGTATCAGGTGATGGGTGTCTGATCACTCCAATGAGGTGATTAAAACTCAGAATTAGGCAAACCTAGGTAAGTGCCCTGAGCCACGTCAGCTACCTGGCTCTTGGCAACCTGACCAGGTGTGATGAACAGAGCTCAGGGGTTGCAGAGGCCTCTGAGGACCTGGAACCAGCCCAGGGTCCTGGCACTGGGTTTTGTCAGGGGAGGGGGCGGAGCTCAAGGGGCCCAGAGAAGTAAAAGGAATATCCTGAGTTGTGAAAGGTAAGGAATGGGGAGTTGGGGCAAGTGACGAACAGACAGGAGCTCCATTGGTAAGGTGTAGTCCAGGAGGCTCGTGGTAGATAAAGGCCTGGAGAACCACATCTACAGGGTGAGGTGTCTGAGGCCCAAGTCTCTCAGGGACCAAGAGGGTCTCACCGGTTTTCCCTCAGGCTGAGGTAGGTAGCCGGGAGCAAGCAGTCTGGTCTGAGGAAAGACTCCTTTCAGGTTAGGTTTGTATGGTGGAGTCTGCCCAGGGAACCTTGTCCGTCTGAGGTCGCAGGAGCTGGAATCAGACAAGGTATATGTAACTAGGTTTCTTAGGAAGGCCTGAGGAGCCGAGATGAGGCACATAAAGGTAGAAGTGGGCTCCTTGGTGGCTCAGTGGGTTAAAGCCTCTGCCTTTGGCTCGTGTCATGATCCCAGGGTCCTGGGATTGAGCCCTGAATCGGGGGGGGGGTCTCTGCTCAGCAGGGAGCCTGCTTCCTCCTCTTTCTCTGCCTGCCTCTCTGCCTGCTTGTGATCTCTGTCTGTCAAATAAATATATAAAACCTTTAAAAAAAAAAAAAAAGAAGAAGAAGAAGTGGGTAGCTCAGGTAAGGACACCAGAGCCGACGAAGGGCAGACATAGTCGAGTCTGACAAATGAGGACTAGAAATGCCTGATTGGGTCCAGGTGAGAACTGTGTCCTCAGGTGACAGACATCTAGTGGTTCTGGGGCTCCGCAGGTTGACTATCCTGGAGGTGGTCCTGGGTCCTGTGGGCTAAGACGAAAGCTGGAGTCAGGCAGAGGGATGGGTAGCTGTGTGCATCTGGAAGGTGCATGAGTTCTGGGTCTGGCAGGTGTGTCCAGGGGGCCTTGAGAGGGGAGGTGAGATTCAGGTTTGTACATTTGGGGTCTTGAACAAGTAGGGTCTGAATTGCTGAGGTCGGCTTCTGGTTTGTATTCTGAACTGAGGAGTTAGGGTCAAGCATAGGTGGGCAGAGCTGAGTTTTTCAGGTAACATCTGTGAAACCACAGGCGAGCAGAGGTAGGTTGACCTGAAGAGCCATGGTTAGTGTCCTTCAACTCTGTCTCGCCATTGAATTTAGGTACAGGTAGATAGACCAGATCTGTCAGGTAAGGCCTAGAGAGGCCATGTTAGGCTTATCTAGAAAGAACTCTCTTAGACTATCTCTGAGGTGATGAAGGGACATCAGGAGGATGGGCTTGGTCTCTCAGCTGAGATCTCAGGAGCCAGGATTGAGTGCAGGTGACTCGATCTGGATCTCCCAGGTTCAGGTCAAAATAGGCAGACAGAATTGCACTTCCGCTGTCTTGTAGAGCTCTCTCACAAAGTTGATGAGTTGGTGGTCAGGTACAGCTATGTGAGATTGAGTTTCTCAGGTGAGGTCTGTGGAGTTTGTATCTGGCAAGGGTTTGTATCTTGGGACTGGCCATAGGAATTCAGCACAAGTGAATACAGCAGGGTTTGTCAGGTAAGGTCTGTGCCACCAAGATCAGGGCAGGGTCATAATGCTAGGTCTCTCCAGTGAGATCTAAAAAGTCCCAGCTGAGTCCAGGTAAGAACTGAATGTCTTAGATGTAAACAACTGAGAGGAGGTACAGGTAAGCAGAGCTAGCCCACTTTGTACAGTATCAGGAGCCACGAGCAAGCACATGTAGGTAGATCTGGCCTCCCAGGTGAGGTCTGAGGACCCAGGGTCAAGCACAGGTAGATAGAACTGACATGCCAGATATGATACGAGGAGCCAAGGTCAAGTATAGGTAGGTAGAACTAGCCTATCAGGTAAAGTCTGAGGAATTGGAGTCGAGCCCAGGTAGGTAGATTCGGTTTGCTAGGTGAGGTCTGAGGAGCCAGGGTCAAGCACAGGTAGGCAGAACTGGCCCATCAGGTATGGTCTGAGGACCCCGGTCAAGCACGGGTAGGTAGAACTGACACCATGTGAGGTCTGAAGAACCAAGGTCAAGCACACAGGTAGGCAGAGCTGGCCTGCCAGGTGATGTCTGAGGAACCAGGGTGAAACACAGGTAGGTAGAATTAGCCTATCAGGTGAAGTCTGAGGAATTGGGAGTCAAGCCTAGGTAGGTAGATTTGGCTTGCTAGGTGAGGTCTGAGGTACCAGGGAACTGGGCCACAAAGTATGGTCTGAGGAGCTAGGGTCAAGCACAGGTAGGTAAAACTGGCTCACCAGATAAGGTCTGAAGTGTCAAGGTCAAGTACAGGTAGGTAGACCTGGCCTGCCAGGTATGGTTGGAGGAGCCAAGATCAAGCACAGGTAGGCAGAGCTGGCCTGCCAGGAAGGTCTGATGAGTCAAGGTAGGTAGAGCTGGCATACCAAGTGTGGTCTGAAGAGCCAAGGTCAAGCTCAGGCAGGTAGAACTGGGCTGCCAGGTAAGGTCTGCAGAACCAAGGCCAAGCACAGGTAGGTAGAACAGGACTGCCAGGTATGATCTGAGGGGCCAGGGTCAAGCATAGATAGGTAGAACTAGTCTACCAGGTGAAGTCTGAGGAAGTGGAATCAAGCACAGGTGGGCAGATTTGATTTGATAGGTGAGGTCTGAGGAACCAGGGTCAAACACAGGTAGGTAGAACTGGCCTGCCAGGTAATGTTTGAAGAACCAAGGTCAAGGACAGGTAGGTAGAGCTGGCCTGCCAGGTATGATCTGTGGGGCCAAGGTCAAGCACAGGTAGGTAGAACTGGCCTGCCAGGTATGGTCTTAGGAGCCGGGGTCAAGTACAGGTAGGTAGAATGGGCCTGTCAGTTATGGTCTGAGGAGCCAGGGTCAAGCACAGATAGGAAAAGAGCTGGCTCATCAAGTGTGGTCTGAGGAGTCAAGGTCAAGCACAGGTAGGTAGAACTGGCTTGCCTGGTATGATCTGACGGGCCAAGGTCAAGCATAGGTAGGTAGAACTGGCTTGCCAGGTATGGTCTGAGGAGCCAGGGTCAAGCACAGGTAGGTAGAACTGGCTCACCAAGTGTGGTCTGAGGAGCCGAGGTAAAGCACAGGTAGGTACAACTGACCTGCCAGGTATGATTTGATGGGCCAAGGTCAAGCACGGGTAGGTAGAACTGGCCTGCCAGGTATGGTCTGAGGGGCCAAGGTCAAGCACAGGTAGGTGGAACTGGCCTGCCAGGTATGGTCTGAGGAGCCAGGGTCAAGCACAGGTAGGTAGAACTGGCTCACCAAGTGTGGTCTGAGTAGCCAAGGTCAAGCACAGGTAGGTACAACTGACCTGCCAGGTATGATTTGATGGGCCAAGGTCAAGCACAGGTAGGTAGAACTGGCCTGCCAGGTATGGTCTGAGGGGCCAAGGTCAAGCACAGGTAGGCAGAGCTGGCCCACCAAATGTGGTTTGAGGAGCCAAGGTCAAGCACAGGTGAGGTAGAACTGGTGTGCCGGGTATGATCTGAGAGGTCAAGGTCAAGCATAGGGACGTAGAACTAGCCTGTCAGGTGAAGTCTGAGGAACTTGAATCAAGCACAGGTAGGCAGACTTGGTTTGCTAGATGAGGTCTGAGGAACCAGGGTCAAGCACAGGTTGGTAGAACTGGCCTGCCAGGTAAGGTCTGAGGAGCCAAGGTCAAGCACAACTTGCTAGGCAAGGTCTGAGGGCCTGCCAGGTGAGGTCTGAGGAGCCAAGGTCAAGCACAGGTAGGTAGAACTGGCCTGCAGGTGAGGTCTGAGGACCCAAGGTCAAGCACAGGTAGGTAGAACTCGCCTCCCAGTTGAGGTCTGAGGAATCCATGGTCAAGCACAGGTAAGTAGAACTGGCTTGCCATGTATGGTCTGAGGAGCTAGGGTCAAGCACAGGTAGATAGAACTGGCATGCCAGGTATGATATGAGGGGCCAAGGTCAAGAATAGGCAGATAGAACTAGCTTATCAGGTGAAGTCTGAGGAACTGGAATCAAGCACAGCTAGGTAGAACTGGCCTGCCAGGTGAGGTCTGTGGAAGTGGAATCAAGCAAAGGTAGGCAGATTAGGCTTGCTTAGGTGAGATCTGAGGTACCAGGATGAAGTCCAGGTAGGCAGAGCTGGCCCACCAGGTAAGGTCTGAGGAGCTAGGGTCAAGCACAGGTAGGTAGAATAGGACTGCCAGGTGTGATCTGAGGGGCCAAGGTCAAGCACAGGTAGGTCGAACCAGCCTATGAGGTGAAGTCTGAGGAACTGGGGCCAAACATAGGTAGGCAGAGCTGGCCCACCAGGTGAAGTCTGAGGAGCCATGATCAAGCACAGGTAGGTAAAACTGGTCTGTCAAGTGAAGCCTGAGGAGCCAAGGTCAAGCACAGGTAGGTCAATCTAACTTGCTAGGCAAGGTCTGAGGAGCCAGGGTCAAGCATAGGTAGGTAGAACTGGACTACCAGGTATGATCTAAGGGGACAAGGTCAAGCATAGGTAGATAGAACTGGTCTATCAAGTGAAGCCAGAGGAGCCAAGGCCAAGCACAGGTAGGTCAATCTAACTTGCTAAGCAAGGTCTGAGGAGCCAGGGTCAAGCACAGGTAGGTGGTATGGTCTCAGGGGCCAAGGTCAAGCATAGGTAGGTCGAACCAGACTATGGGATGAAGTCTTAGGAACTGGGGTCCAGCACAGGTAGGCAGATTCAGCTTGCTAGGCAAAGTGTGAGAAGCAGGGTCAAGCACAGGTAGGCAGAGCTGGTCCAGTGGGTACAGTATGAGGAGCCCAGAACATACACACAGGTAGGCAGAGCTGACTCACTAGCTGCAGTGGGAGGATGTGGGGCTCGTCAGGTATACAGATCTGGCTCGCCACGTGTGGTCTGAGGACCCAGGGTCACAGGCAGGAGGGCAGAGCCCATCTGCCAAGTGTAATGTCTTGAGAAGGCCTGAAGAGTTGGGGTCCTAAAGAGTTGGGTTCCTGAAGAGTTGGAACTAAGGTCCAGCCTAGATAGGCAGAGCTGGCCTGCCAGGTATGGACTGAGGAGGTCGGTGAGGTAGGTAGTCAGACTTTGAGCTGTTGAATTCAGGCAAAGGTATGTACCCTTGGATCTTCAGGGTGAGGCCTGAAGAAGGAAGGTGAAACCTAGGTGAGCGCAGTGGCCACAGGTGAGTCCCTATGAGGCTCGAGGAGGTCTGCGAGCCCTAAGTTAGACATGAGTAGGTGGCCATGGCTCGCTCAGGCACTGACTTTGGAGCGGGAGATAGCCCCCTGGGTCTTGTCACTGAAGTCCTTGGAACATGGTTCTGGCTCACTTTTGTGGACCCAGGTCTTAGAGTTAGAGGGGAGGCTTGGAGAGCACGGCTCAGTCACAGGGAGGGAGAACCCCATCTTGTGCAGTTGGCGGTGGGCGGTTCTCTTGGGCACAGGTCTGCAGAGATCTTTGTGTCCAATGAGCTGAGGCTCGTCGGTGAGCTGTTAGTGGTCAGCCGTGGTCTGCAGGATGTGAAGGGCTAGTCAGACAAGGATAGAGAGCCGGGTTTTTCGGGTTAGGCCTGGGGGAGTTGAGGTCAGACCTGTGTAGACAGAGCTGCTCTCTCAGGAAGGTGTGAGGAGTCCGAGTTGGGCTTAGCAAGGTGAACCTGGGTCTCTTGGTTGAGATGTGAGGAGATCAGGCAGAGACAGAGGACAGCTGGTGGAGCCTGGCTCTGCCGTGGCTGTGACCCTGCAGGGTGCGCCTTGGAAGAGGACCCAGGCAGGCAGAGCTGAGCTCACAGGCGAAGCCATTGCATCCATCCATCCGTGTTTGGCGTTGTTATGAGTTCGCGGATGTAAAGCCATGGACAGAGGTATATAAATGTGGTCTTAGATGGGTTCTTGGCCCTGGGTTCAGGAACAAGTTGGCATCCCTAGGCTTGTTAGGTGAAATGGGTAGGCCTGCTCTAGCCTAGGAACTGGTGTGGTTGGTGAGGCCTGAGAACGCGGGCCAGGTGCAGGGATCCTCGGTGGTAGGATCAGGCACAGGCTGTCCGCAGGGGAAAGCCAGAGTCACCGGCCTGGGGAGGTCTCAGGAACACTTAGGATCACGTAGAACAGATACAGTGCCTTGAGCCCATTCTCGGTACCCCAGTCACACATGATGGGCAGAGCTCACAGTATCGCAGAGACCCGAGGATTTGTAGCCAGGCCGAGGTGTGGTCCGACTGGCTTAGGGTCTGAATTACTCAGGTGGGAAAAAAGTAGATTATAACTGGTTAAAGTGAGGGCTGAGGCAGGGGAGGGACAGGATACCAAACCGATGAGGAGCTACGTCTGTGAGGTGCGATCTGAAAGGGGCCCCTTGCAGGTAAAGTGAGTTCTAGAGATTGTCTGGAGGAGGAGGTCTCGGAGGCTCAGGTCGGATGCTGCCATTGCTGAGCTCCTAAAAGTGAGGTCTGATGACCTGGGGCAGCCAAAATCAACAGCTTGGCAGTCCAGCTTTCTAGAGCTGAGCCTGTTTGGTGAGATCCAAGAGCCTGTTTCAGGCATGGTGTGGCTTCTGGAACTGTGTCTGGTAAGGTTCCCCCAAACCTGGACTTTTTCCAGGTGAAGGGCCCCACCATTCATCTCGTTACCCAAGCCAGAAACCTCTGGGGCACACGTGATTGTCTGGTTCTTTCAGTTCATCCTGTCTGATCTCCTGAATCAGTCCTCTGCCCTCCCTTTCGAGGGTAGAATGGTGTTGCTGATGACCACCGGGGCTCCATGCTTCATCCCCCAGCACTGCCTCTCAGCTTCCACCCTCCTGCTCCCACCCCTTCCTTCATCTAGAATGTGCTGTGGTTCCTCTTGCCCAACCTGTCTCAACGGGCCTCCAGTAGAGAATTAAGCCCTCATGTCCCATGACATCCAGTGGATGTCATAAATTAGCATCTCTTCCTTGCTTCTAGGAGGGTGCTAGCCTTGGACCATCCTTGGGAGAATGGAGAAATGAAGCATTGAAAGTATTTCCTGTGGGGCTTAATTCTCTTCACTGTTGAGAAAGCCTGCTCTTGCCACAGGACTTTGGTATTTGCCGTACTGGCTGTTGGAATGCTTCCCCCCCAACCCGGTGCTTTCCTAGGTAATGCCTGCTCGCTCTTTAGATCCAAGCTCATGCGCTCCCCAGATTGCTTTTATAATTGATTTCACTGCTGTATTTCCATTCTCCCAAGCACTCGCATTTCATTTCACATTTATTGGCATGATTATTATATTTACATCTCTGGGGAGCCCTCATGGGCTGCTTCCATTGCCTGTGCTGGGAATGTGGTAGGTGGTCCATAAAAAGCTGTTAGGAAGATGGGAATGGATTTCTGAGGACTTAGGTGATACAGGGTGGAGTCTGCAAGTGTGACTAGGTAGGTCTTGGGGATGAGGCTGAGAAGACCTCTCAGGTATGAGCTCTGGGCCTGTCACTGTCCCAAGAGGCAATGGGTCTGGCTGGGGCAAGGCCAAACCCAGGTTTATTGGTATCTGAGGAGGCAGGGCCAAGACCCAGGTAGAAGGTGCTGGATCTTTCATTGTTTGAGGAGTGTGCTTGGGCACAGGTATGGGGCATTGGGTCGATTAGTCTGAGGATGTAGGGCCTGGCACAGGTATGAGGTGCTGGGTCTGTCATTGCTCAAGGAGGGCAGGCTGGGCCAGGCACAGGTAGATCCTGACCTGTTAGCATCCAGGTAGGTGGGCTAGTCACAGGTACAAGATGCTGGGTCTGTCCGTGTCTACAGAGGCTGGATATAGCTTTGAGGTACTAGATCTGTGTGTGTCTGAGGAGGTGGGGCTTGGCACAAGTATGAGGCACCAGTTCTGTCAGTGTCCATGAGGCACAACCACACACAGGTATGAAGTACTGGGTCTGTCAGTATTTGAAGATGCTTTGGCACAGGTATGAAGCACTGGATCTATCGGTGTGTGAGGGGACTGGACATGGCAAGGTATGAGATGCTGGTCTTTTGATTCTGAGGAAGGGGGGCCTGGTACCAGGTATGGAAGCACTGGGTCTGTTTCTGAGGAAACCGATCCTGGCACAGGTATGAAGCACTGGGTCTGTGTCTGAGGAAACCGGGCCTAGTACCAGGTATGAGGCGCTGGGTCGGAGGCGCAGGCCGGGCCTGGTGCAGGTATGAGATGCTGGGTCGGTCGGTCGGTCTGAAGAGGAGGCCTGGCCTGGTGCAACTATGAGGCACTGGGTGTGTCTGTCTGAGGAGGAAGCCAGGCCTGGTGCAGGTATGAAGCACTGGGTCAGTCGGTCTGCCTGAGGAGGAGGCAGCCAGGCCTGGCACAGGTATGAGGCGCTAGGTCTGTCTGTCTATCTGAAGAGGAGGCCAGACCTGGTGCAGGTATGAGGCACTGGGTCTGTCTGTCTGAGAGGAGGCCAGGCCTGGCACAGGTATGAGGCGCTAGGTCTGTCAGAGGAGGAGCCTGGGTCTGGCACAGGTATGAGGCACTGGGGTCTGTCTGTCAGAGGAGGAGCCCGGGCATGGCGCAGGTATGAGGCACTGGGTCTGTGTGTCTGTCAGAGGAGGAGCCCGGGCATGGCGCAGGTATGAGGCCGTGGGTCGGTCTGTCAAAGGAGGAGGAGCCCGGGCATGGCGCAGGTATGAGGCCGTGGGTCGGTCTGTCAGAGGAGGAGCCTGGGCCTGGCACAGGTATGAGGCCCTGGGTTTGTGTGTTT